TATTTCTTTTTTCTCCTCCTCCTTCTTTTTCTTTTCATTTAGAGTTGGGAATTGAACCAGGGACTGCACACACGCTAGGCAAGTACCCTTCCAGAGATCTATATCCTCAGCCCTTTCAGTATAACTTCCACTTGACAATATTTTTGCAACTCATTATTTTTCTCTACTTGGTAAAAAATGGTTTCCTGCTTAATTTACTCCACGTTTCCATTTCGATCAAACGTCACAAATTTAGCAGCTCTCATTCTCCAGATCACCAGCAGGCCAGTGTCCACTATGGACCTTATCAGAGATGACCCATGCATTTTAAAATAATGCCAACACTAAGGATAGAAGCCTTACTACCTCAGTGCTTCCTGGGTAAGGTGGCTTTGACAGTCTAGAAGAAGGACTTCATTGGGGTTTCCTTTGCTACTTCTATAGACATATTCCTCAATACCAGCTCCTCCTTAATTAGTTAAGCTATTGAATAGCAAAAGAACAAAAGTCTCCCCCTCCCCCCGCCGCCCTTGGGGAACTTTAATGATATGACATAATCCTTCTGCAGGGTTCTCACGAAAGATATATCACCAACTCCACAGAGCATCCTTCGGCCTTCAGAGTTTGTATTCAAATTCTGGTTCCCTCATGTAAATCCCATGTAAAAAGAGTAAGAAGCCTGGAGGGGAAGAGGTGGATCACCAGATGAAGGAAACAGGGGTTAGAAAGGGACAGAGTTTACCGTGGCAGAAAACAGTCCAGAAAAGAGATTGCCAAGGGCCTTGAACACCTTCTCAAGTAGGTTACAAGGGTTCCTGCAAACAGGAAGATCTTAACAGCTATTGCATTGCAGTGCTGGCCACATTACATAATGATCGAGCATTTCTAGGAGTCTAAATGCATTGCATTTTTTTTAAGTAAGTAAGTCAGTTTCAAATACACTGATATATTCCCCAAATATTACACAAGTCATTCCCTTGAAGAACTAGATCGACCGCCACACTGGCTCATCAACATACAAATAAGACAAACGGACACACGATGCTTCAATGGACACTCTGCATCCAAAGAAAATGCAAGAAAAACAATTCTAATGCCTAACGTTCCATAGTCAATCAAAACTAGTAGCAAGTTCAAACTCTGCACCTCATCCTGTGGATTCAACTCCTTCTTCGCTGTATCATGGTGGCATGTTAATTTAAACAGACTCATCTTTACTCCTAAAACTACCAAGAGACATTTGTTGGATATTTACTCTTGATAATGGGTGTCATTTGTTTCTCTTAAAAACATGTAATAGAATAGGGCAAAAACCCTGTCTAGCTTTGGAGTCCTTTATTATATTGCGGTGTGATTTCATTTATATAAGGCATTAATAAGCTTCCTCCTGCTGATAATAAGACGTGAGCCGCACCTGCCTATGTACTGCAAACAGTACAGAAGCTATCGGCCCCCGCTGGGGAGTTATCTAATATTTACTTGAAAAACAATTTTTATCTGGATTCGGGCTCTGGCTCATCCTTTGACTAGATTATCTAAGCAAGCAGAGAGGGTCTGAGGCGGAAGTTATTACACACACAACAGATTCTCAGCACTGCGTTTGTCTTGACTGTGTTTGCTCTTCCAACCCCTCTAAGATGTTCTTGGGGTCCCTGAACAATCTCTGAGCTCTGCCACTGCTCACAACTGCACAGCGGTGGCTTTCGAACGGAGTCACTCAGTGAAACCCAAGCATAACAATGGGAAATGGTGGATACACTCTCCAGCTGGTGTTCCCAAATCCCTGTCCCAAGGCTGGTATCTTCCCCCCACCCTCCTCAATTCGTTAAATCCCTTCGACAGACTCCAAACACTTCGGGGTTCAACGGTTGCATGAAGAGCCTTGACAGGCACATGCTACCTTCTTCAGGAGACGTTTGCATACACAGGGCAGGGAGCACAGAGATTTCTGCAACTCAGACAATATTCATGAAGTGCCACACTAGCATTGGCCACTCTCCTGTCACACAATGAGAAAGAAAGTAATTGATGTTTTAAGACTATTGAGTGTCAAGGGCCAAATGGGAAGCAAGACATGAGAACTCAATATTTACAAGTGAGAAAAGACGTTTGTAAGTACTAAAGTGATTTGTCTAATATTAAGTCAACAAACAGTGCCCTCATGTCTAGCTCCAGCCTCCCTCTGCCTGCATTGTGTTTCTTAACAGGGTGCGGTGAAGGAGTACAGGGACGATTCTTGAGCCATTTGTCACAAAACATCCAGCGTGTGGCGTCGTATCTGACAGTGCCAAGAAAAGAGAGAAAAAGTATTTAATAGTTGAATCCTGACTCTAACTCAGATTTTATCTTGTTTGTTTTCTGTTTACTTTATACAGCTGGAAAAGGGCTTGTAGTGGAGAAAAACAGGCAAAAGAGTCAGCAGCAGACTCTAGGGGTTGTGTTACGATTTTGTACGGAAAGGATGAAGTTGGTGAGAAATACCAAAAACTTAAACTGAAAATAGCATCAAGGCAAAAATGTCTAGCCCCAAAGCGTGGCTCTTTAAAGTCGACAAGTCCTTTAACAGTTATGTTGGTGTGCGTGTGACAGAGATACAGAGAGGTTCAGGACTCAGCAGCTAAAATGCCCTTGCATTTATACCCCACCAAGACAGTAGCCCAGAATGTGGGCTGCAGGTACTTCCCAGACATGGCTATAAAGTTCTCACCCACATCCTCTTTCCTGGAGTTCTTGACCTCCTGTAAGCATGGACTCTGAAAGCCACTCCCACAGTGAGGACTTTGGATCTAATACTCCCCTGGGTCCTCTCAGCTGTCCCTCAGAGCCCAGCTTACAGAACTTCCCATGGCAGAATGCAGTGAGAAGCAGAGAATGAAGGTTGAACACGTCTCATGAGCTTCCTCCAACGTCACAGGCACTCTGCCAATGTGGGCCATGGCACCACAACAGCTCGCACTGTGGATGCGCCACGCTGATGAGACTCCCCTTTGCAGTGCTGGGCCATTAAACCCAGGGCCTTGTGTAATCTCAGCAAGAGTTATCCCACAAAGTACAAACACAGACCTTGAGGTTTTAGGTAGGGTCTTAGCAGGTAGCAACTCTGTCCTTGAACCAACTAAGCTGCTTAGGCTGACCTTGAACCCAAGAGTCTCCTGCCTCCACTTCCCCAGTGCTGAGCCACATAAATATTATTTATGGCCCATGATAATCTCTTCTGGCCCGGCAGTGGTGGTACATGCCTTTGATCCCAGCACTTGGGAGGCAGAAGCACGTGGATCTCTGTGAATTCAAGATCAACCTGGTCTACAAAGCGAGTTCCCGGACAGCCAAGACTTGAAACCTTGTCTTGAAATAAAAAAAAAAAAAAAAAGAAAAAAGAAAGAAAGAAATCATCTGTGCTTAGATGATTCAGTCACTTAAATACTGGTCTACCTCAAATGTCTATTTTCTGGTTCAATATCTTTCCTGGCTTTCATTCTTAGACATGCCAATTGCGTTTCTTAAAGACTCACTCATTTAAAACATAACTTCCTAACCTTGAGTGAACACAGAAACCCTTATTGTGCGTGGATTCAGTGGAGAGATGTCACTACTCATCCAAGTTGGTTTGTTGCCCCCAAAATCAAGGCTCTTGATGTTTGAGTCACTTACAGACATGCCCAGAGTGGTGACAACGTTCAGTTGCCGGTTAGCTGCACTCGTTCTGAGGCAATAAAGCCAAGCATTATTCTTTAGGCAAGGCCACCAGCCTGTGATTTCAGGATAACTTGTAAATGCACCTATTCAATAAAATTTATTTATAGACCCAAAATAAATAAGTACTCTGGTTCTTTTACAGTAGAGAAAAAAACACATATTAGGTAAGTTTCTTTTGGGTGCAAGACATAATGCCACTAGATGTGACTAAAGTGCTCATGAATCAACAATATGTGTTGAATGAGGAGTCACCAAAGAGCACACAAAAGACAGGATTTTTTTTTAATGTGCGTTGGTGTTTTGCCTTGCATGAGGGTGTTAGGTATGCATCCTAGAACTGGAGTTATAAACAGTAGCAAGCTGCCATTAGGGTGCTAGGAATCGAACCCAGGTCCTGTGGATGGTTACCCAATGCTCTTAACACCTGAGCCGTCTCTACCGCCCCAAGACAAGACTTAATGTGCACTGATGAGCTCACCAAAAACGCTGGGACCAGAGGCTCAAAGGAACCTAAACTTGTGTTTCCCCCGGAACTATTCCATATTCCCTAATTCAGAGGCAACTTTATAGAAATGACTGCTATTGAGAATCAACTGTAATTACTTTTAATTCCTGCTTAAATCCCTCCCAGTATCCTGGAGCTCAGGTAACATCCTGGGAGGTAATTTAGGCTGCTATCACCCTTTCTACACCCAGTCCCTCCTCTCATTTTCCTTCCCTTCCTCAGTTTCTCAACCAGTTTACACCAGAATACCCCCCAGGGGCTCCCTGCCGCCCTCCGCACGTTCCTCCTCTTCCTCGGAGTCCATTTTCTGCCTACGCGAACTGCTGGTGACTCTTCTTACGTGGTGGTCATCTCACCATGTCTGAATCCTCACCCAAGCTCCAAATTAACCAGGGGAGGGCTTGGCGCTCCTGTGTTGGCAACTGAAGTCCTTGGCGGGTGTCAAGTTCCCTCCCCCATGCCCCGCAAATGCGCATCTCCCTGTCTACTGTGTTGAGCCCTTAGTCTGTCTTCCAAAATCTATGTCAAGCCACACCACCAAAATGAAGCTTCCCCAATTATGTACAGGAACAGACAGGAGTTCCTTGTTCAGGACTACCAGTGCCCTGGTGCACGATTTGCTAGTTTCCCCGATCCTACTCAGGAATAACTTTCCCCCTTCTCTTTGCCTTACTAGACTAAGCTCCTTAAAGATTAGGGTGATGTTTTGTTCTCACAAGAAGTCTTCAGTACTGGTTAGAATACAGTATGCAATAAACAGCAACGAAAGAATGAACGAGTGAACAAATAAATTGTATCATTTCTTCTTCTTGTATCATAGATCTGACTTATTCTCCCATAAGAAGTCAATCTCATCTTTGAGATCACGCCCAGCTCGTTAAAGTTCAGGAACTATCACCCACAGAGGACAGAAGACTGCTACCAGCGTAAACTTTGTCTCCAGGCAGTGACTGTCATAAGGGCAAACGCCAACAGTGTTTTCCCAGACTTTTTGTCTCCTTTTGCTCTGCTGGTAAATTTTTTTCTTTGTCTTATCTGATTTTATTTCCATTTTTCTTTTTGTGTTTTGGTGGGGGTGTTTCTTGGGTTTTTGCTGTTGTTGCTGTTTCGTTTTCTGTTGGTTTGGTTTTGTCTGCTTGCTTGTTTTCAGTTTTGTTTTTAAGAGAGATAAAAAAAAAAAGTTGGACAAAGAGGGAAGCAGGAAGAATCTGGGAGAAACCGGGAGAGGGGGAGAACTGTGATCAAAAATCTATTTAAAAAAAAGAATCCCAGAACTCGGAAGGCAGAGCCAGGCAGATCCCTGAGTTCCAGGCCAGCCTGATCTACAGAGAGAGTTCTAGGACACCTAGAGCTACATAGAGATACACTGTCTTAAAAAACAAACAAACAAAATTTTAATTGAAAACAAGGTTTTGTTTGACTTTTTGAGGCAGGGTTTCTCTGTATGCCCTGAGTGTCCTGAAACTCACTCTGTAGACCAGGCTGGCCTTGAACTCAGAGATCTGCCTGCCTCTGCCTCCTGATAAAAGGCATGCTCCACCATCACGTGGCTAAAAACAAGTTGTTTTTTTTTTTAAAAAAAAAACAGAAAAACATATGGCCTCCCACCTAACCTTGGCTTTGTCGGGAGAACTCTCCCCTGTCCTCTTTACCCAGTACACACGTGTAACATATCTTCTTTTTGAGGTACAGACATGTTGCTCCCTGGGAAGCTTTCCAGGTCTCCCCCACATCCACCCAACCTCTCATATCTGTGTCTCTGTGTTCCCTAAAAGGTCCCTAGCACCTTCCCTTGCCCCTCCCTGTCTCCTGTCCGGCCTCTTGTTCTCTTTCCAGCCATCGAGAAGAGCGTTGAGAGCAGGTAACAGCTGCTCCTGGCTCACATGGCTAAAAACAGACGTGAAGAGCAGGCGACTCCCAGTAAGTACGAGGTGGGGGTTGTAATAACACAGCAGCAGCGGAGCGTAATGAGTAAGAACTGTCCTCCGGAACCCAGCTGCCCGGGAAAGAAGCTTGATCTGGTCACTTTCTGTCTTGGAAAGCATATGTCACCGAATGCCTTTGTGCCTAAGCTTCCTTACCTATAAAACTGGACCCATAATGATACAGGCCTTAACGGTGTTTGTCATAATTTAAGAAACAAATAAATAAGGGGCTAGGGAGATGGCTTAGTTGATAAGGTACTTGCTGTGTAATCAAGACCTGAGCTTCAGTTCCCGGCACTAGTCAAACATGACAATGGACACCTAGGATCCCAGCAGTGGGGAGTCAGAGGAGCATCCCAGAGCCCGCAGGCCAGTCAGTCTCACTGAATAGCCAAGCTCCAGGTTTAACAGGAGACCCTGTCTCAAAAAATAGAAAGAAAAACAATTGAGGAGGATGCAGGGTGTCAACACCCAACCTCCACACGCATGTGAATAAGTGCACATGTGTATACGCATAAACATGTTCACACAGACAAATACAATGATTACAAAAGATAGAGTAAATTAGTTTCTAATAAAGTGCAGTGCCTGTCCCTCATGACTTCCTCAACATAGTCTTCCTGAAGGGGACTGGATTCCAGAAGCAAGTCCTTTATGTAAAACGGGGTAGTCTTTGCATAGAACCTGTACAGACACGCCCACACATTCTGAGTCATCTAGGTTACTTACAATACAACACAAAGACTACGCAAATAGTTGCTACTCTATACTGTTCAGGGTTTGGCGACAAGAAAAGCAGTTTGTGTATGTTCAGTACAGATACAATTTTCCTTTCAAATATTTCAACCTGAGACTGGTTGGATCCATGAATATATAACCTGCATTCAAGGGGGCACTTTTTTATTTATCATATCAATAAGAAAATTAGTACCAGAGAATAAATCACAGTAGGTCACTGAATGATAGGTTTAGGATACGGTTGAAATGGGGAAAAGTAAAAAAATATTTCAAGTACTAAAAAGACAGAGATGAACAAAGAGTAACAGGTAGTGTTGAAAACAAGAGATCATGAAAGCCCAGGGGTGATGGTGCATATCTCTAATTCCAGAGTTCGAGGACAGCCTGGTCTACATTGAGAATTCCAGGACAGCCAGGGCTATACAGAGAAACCCTCTCTCAGGGGAGAGGGGACCAACCACCCTCCCCCCCCCAAAAAGAAAGAGATTATGAGACAGCCCTATTAGACCTTATCTGACCAGGGAGCAAAATATATGGCAGCTTCTGGACTGCATTGGTTCTGAATATAAGGTTCGAAATGGAGAGAAAAAAGTGTAAACCAGAGGAGTTTGCTCTAGAACAGAGGCTAAGGGAACACTGGCTTAGCCAAGAGCTAGATCTGGAAAGGGGCCAAAATGAACTGTAAGGCTTCAGGCGTGGAACAGATTTTGGGATTGGAAGGCAGAATGAGGATGAGCTCCTCAAGGGAGGCTGAACTTGGAAAGGAAACTGAAACAAAGAAGTATCCAGAATGAATGGACTGTGAATGCTTGACCTAGGAAAGTAGCCTCCTAGTTTCGCTTTTCCCAACTCTTTTCTCCTTCTTTTCCCAGGACGCCTCTGCCTTGGGTGAAGGCCAGTGTGTGTCTAGTATGACCACTATCAGGGCTGACTTCTCCTCCAGGCACAGGAAACTCAGCACTTAGACACCACTCTGCTTTTGAGAATCCGGGATAAGATTTTCATTTTAATTTCTTTTTAAAATCAGAAAGAAGGAAAGACAATAAATATGAATATGGAAGTACAATCCAACCTATATTGTGCATATTTACATACATATAACATTTATAATATTTATAATTATAATATATAACATGTATAAAAATATTTTATGCTGGTGTGGCTGTAAAATATGACTGCCATTGTATTTATGGAAGATAGATCTCAATAAGGTAAAAACTAAGTGAATCCCTAACCAGATAAGACAAAAGATCAGATCTGGAATCCAGCAAGCAAAGAAATGACTGGTGTGGGGAGACCTTCTGTATATGTGTTGCTTTTATTGGTTAGTGAATAAAGAAACTACCTTGGCCTGTGAGAGGGTAGAGTAGAACTAGGCAGGAAAAACTAAACTGAATTCTGGGAGAAAGAAGGCAGAGTCAGGAGACACCATGTAGCTACTGCCATCTGGCCAGTAAGTCACAGCCACGTAGCAATACACAGATTAATAGAGACAGGCTAATTCTAGATATAACAGCTAGCTAGCAATACACTTAAGCTATTGGCCAAACAGTATTAAAAATAATATAGTTTTTGTGTGATTATTTTGGGAGTCTGGGTGGCTGGGAACAAACGCACAATCTCTGCTAAGAAATTGGCACACATGGGGCTGGCTAAGTTCACATAAAAGCTGAGAAAGCTTGAAAGGAATTCTAGACACAAAAGAATAGAGTTAAGCATGGTTTCTTGGTAGCCATCAATTTTTTTTTTCAGATGGGCTCTGTTTGCTGTGGGCGAGTTTAAGAGAGGTCTTCTTGACTAAGCATTGGCAGCAAAAATGGTGCAGCTCCTTTAAGAAGGTTTCCTGGTTCGCCAGCACAAATGACTCTGACTCTTTTGGGAGATCCGGCTATGGAGCATTTGAGTGAAGTTTGTAAGCAAGTGCTACAACTTGCTTAATGGCAACATAGACCCACTGTGTGCCTGAAAATGGGGCTGTGAGCATGGCTCGCACTGAACAGACTTCCACTATGTTGGACAGAACCAAAAGGCAAAGCAACCTTAGTCCTAGAAATGTCACCTAGCATTTTAAGAAGCGCTCCTGAAAAAAAAAGAATTTCAGATACACAATAGGACAGATTCAGACATAAAAGACCTCTAAACGAGACACAATATGTTAAAAAAAAAAAGTATGTAGGCTTGAGAGAGAGAAGAAAAAAAAATAAAGAGATAGTAAATGTAATATAAAAGAGTACAGTCATAGAAATACAAAACTTGTAGAAAAAGTAATAGAATAAGAAAATAAACCATGTAAAGATGAAATGTACACAGAGTCTGGATTATGTATATTATTGTGTTTTCTTTGAAATTTTGACTGTGAAGGAGCTAAGTACAGAGAGACATTTCATTGTATGGACTGCTAAGATAAACCAGCATATAAATTCTAAAGGTATCATGACTTCAGAATTTGGGTCTTAGGATTTGTTGCTTTGGAAAAGTGGTTCTTCTTTTGTTTCCACAAAGGATGAGAACGTACAATTCCTTCCAGACTAATGTGGTTTGATGGACCAAGACCACCTGAAAGGTTGCCATGAACACCTCCAAAAAGTTACTTTGCCCAGTTGGATGGTGGTAGTGGTGCATGCCTTTAATTCCAGAACTCAGGAGCCAGAGGCAGGTGGATCTCTGTGAGTTTGAGGCCAGCCTGGTCTACAAGAGCTAATTCCAGGACAGGTATCAAAGCTACAGAAAAACCTTGTCTCAAAAAGAAACAAACAAACAAAAAAGTTATTTTGCCCAATAAAAAGCAGGAAGCAGATTGGAGAGAACTATGCCCAAATTCCCTAATTATTTATAAATGTTTGTTTACATTTAAAGGGGGATATGCTATAGAGATGAATATTTTGCATTGATATGGATCTTGGTTTATTGATACAAATTTAAAATCAATTTTGTTATATGTATAGTTCTGCTCTTGATTAAGGTATTATGTTTGTGTAGCTCATTTAAAAATATAATATATAATTAAGAAATATAGGTTAATAGATAATCATCTATCTATAATAGTCAAGCTTATAGTCATGTTAGTTAGGTTTTCTAGATATATAGTGATATATTTTAGCTTGATAGATATTCTTCAAATCTTTCAGAGACCTTCAGAATATGGAGTTTTAAATGTTTTAATAATTTAGGACTTTTCCTGACAATGAGACACATCTGCTCTTGATAATACCAATTACTTCAAGAGGAAGATGAGCATCAAAGAGGCTCCTTATGGAGTTTGCTAGCCAGTTGGGCAAGAAACTGCTCTTGCCTGGACTGCTTGATGTTATACTGTGTGAACTGGACATGCAGTACCCACAGAAAAATGACTGGTGAATTTGCCTAAAGGTGAGACAGTCCTTCAGGGTTCCTGCTTCATGAAAGAGTCTGCCAGACATTCTGCATAACACAGAAGAAAGTGACTGACAAACTGCCAAATAGGTATAACTGTAGTTGAAATTTTCTGATTCCTGGAAAAGTCTGCTGGATACTATGGACCTGTAGGCTGCAGATGGATGCTCCAACAATACAGAAGAACTTTGGGTGTAAGATGTCTCTGTCATTTCTAGAGTTTTGGAAGTTGCTTATGATGAACTTCCTGCTTACTTAGGTAATATTATATCCTTCTGGAGTCTTTGATGGAATTAAAGAATAAATAATTATAGTTTTCCTTATATATGATAAAAATAAAATAGATATAAACATTATAACTGTAATTCTTGTTTGATAACTGTCTTGTTATATGTAATTTTACTATGTTAAAGTTAAAGCCTTCCTTTTTATTTAACAGAAAAAGGGAAATGGTGTGGGAAGTTCTTTTGTCTATGTGTTGATTTTATTGGTTAATGAATAAAGAAACTGCTTTGATCCTATAGCAGGGCAGACCAGAGCTGGAGGGAGAACTAAACTGAATGCTGGGAAAAAGAAGGCGGAGTCAGACGACACCATGTAGCCCTGCCAGAGACAGATGCCAAGATAGAACTTTACCCGGTAAGCCACAGCCATGTGGCGATACACAGATAAATAGAAATGGGTTAATTCAAGACATAAAAGTTATCTAGAAATATACATGAGCTAATAGGCCAAGCAGTGATTTGATTAATACAGTTTCTGGGTGATTATTTCATGGTCTGAGCAGCCAGGAACAAATGAGCGGCCCTTCTACCACAAACACCTTAGAAAGAAGCAAAAAAAGCCAGAGCTCTAGGACTCTCCCTTGGTTTGAGAAAGAAATCTGTTTTCTAAGGACAAAGAAGTTCCTGTCCCCTCACCCCACCTCATCATAGCAACAATGCAACTCATAAAATGGTCTGTACATATGCATGAATTATACCTAGGGGACCTTATGCTACACCAAAGACACAAAGAGTTAAAAAAAAAACCATTGTGTTATTACTATTGTTCTTGTTGTTGTGTGTGTGTTCATGTTGATGTGTATGTTTGTAAATCAAGAGTGCATATAGAGACCAAAGTACAAATTTGGGGAGTGGACTCTATATTTTACCTTTATGGCTTCTCCAGGGGTGGAACTCAGGTCACCAGACTTGCAAGACAAGTGTCTTTACCAACTGAGCCATTTCACGAACCCCACTGAAATAATTTAGCATTCACGTTTGTGTCATTTGATCAAGTTCTGCCTTGCTTTCAGTCTAATGTCTGGCCTACGGGTAGTACTTTCAATGGTTTAAAGACATACAGTATCCATTCCAGCTATGTTTTTAGCTCCAGAGTCAGAATTATAAAAGAAAGGCATTCCCATGCTGCATTCAATAACACACGCATCTATCTTTATGAAATATTAAGATCAATTGAAGATAGGTCCCCTCACTGAAATCAAAGAGTAAACTAGAGAAGGAGGTAGCGCTTCCTCTTGCTTTGCAGTAAGCCCAGCTCCTTGGAGTTTATAAATATACTTTATCAAATCCCTCTGCTCAAGTAATCTTGAGTCGCACCCCCATCCCAGCCCTGCGCCATGAGAGAATGAATAAATGAATATCTAGCAGGGCCCACACAATACCCACAAGATAATCGGCATTCTGAGAGTGTCTGAAGATATCATGTATGATAGACACCAGAGAGTGGCCCTGCACATATTAGTCCTGAATTACTGGTTTGCAGAAAGGACAGACAACACAAACAGATCACATGAGGACGCAACAGATAAATTCACAAAACGGGGTCGGCGTGATTAGTAGATGTCAGAAATGATACTCCCCTGTCCCTTCTGATTTATGCAAGACGCAGTTGCCGGTTTCTTTGTTTTTCAGTCCTGATAGATCCTGGCCACACTATTTACTGAAGGCTGTGCGTCTGTTGCTAAAGGAGGAAGGCATACGCACAATGCCCAATATCAGAAGCCACATCCCCAAGCATCCTAGAGCATAAATACTGACAAGGAAGGATTTCCAAGTGGAGTTTCTATCAGGCCACCTTACAGAGTCCTGGCAATCAGAAGGGGACACTGAAGAAGCCTCCCGGTGCCAGCCACAGTGAAAATGACAGTTCAGATCCACAAACACCCAGCAAAGCTATGCGAGCAATCTTGTGGGCAGAATCTGCTTTAATGGGAACGTTCAGTGTTATGCATTGCAGCATGTTATGAATTGGTTGCAATTTTCTCCTGACAGTTTCTGAATTAAACTAGTTAGTACACAAAATAATAATAATAATAACAATAATAATAATAACAAATGCCACAAAGCAGAAAGCAAACTCGGTGTCTGGAGGTTAATGATTGCTCATGAAAGCCACAGAAATAAATTATCTGCCTAGGGACACTGTCACATGATCAGCACAAACGCTGTAGCAGCCAAAAATGTTTATGTAGAGGGGAAAAAACACTGTGAACGTCACAGCACCCTTCCCCCCACAGCTAAATTCGAGCCCTGAGCCAGCCAGCTGCTCCTGACTGCTTACATTAAACTAATTTGTGCTGCTACATTGCAGCTGCTTAATTTTTACTCT